AGATCAGCTGACCCACCAGAAAGACCAGGCAAAGGAAAGGCCACCCCTCAAGTTTCCCTCTCTCCTGCTTCCCTCTGCCTGAGATCATGCCCAAGAGGGGTGTGGCAACTGCTACATGTTCACCACAGGACCACTATGTCAGGGCTGCCTCATCTTTGTTTCTGGTCACCCAATCCTTACCAGATATTGGTTCTAGCTCATGAATTGGGCATTGTGTCAAATCAGGCATTGGTTATTGCAACAAGGTTTGTGCCACCACTGCCCTAGCCATTCACCATTTTGAAGGCAGGACAGATTGTAGATCAAAGGTTTGTGGGTGTGTTGGTGTTTATGTTTCTTTTTTGGTAGCCTGAAGAGTACCTTTCCATGTCATAGACACTAGAACATATAAAGTTTCTATGGAGGCACCATATAAATCCTCCCTGGTTCAAAGAGTTGTGTGGGTGTTTATCTTGAGCAACTGGGCCTTTTTGTCAGTTTGTGGAGAGCAACCTGTTGTCTTGGCAACAGCCTAGGTTGTTGGAGCTTTCCATGGGACCTTTTGGCCAATGACTCATTTGTTTAAAACCCAGTCCTGGTACTGGAAGCTTCCTTTGGTGACAAGAACCGGTGTGTCTCTCTTTTGGAGAGTTCACTAGGATTGCCTTCATATATTACAAGGGGTTTCCACTGTACTGTCCTTCAATACTGGCTGTCTCTCCCTTCATTTCCTCCCTCAATCCTGTGATTCCCTCCCACTGATCCATCTGTTCTCACCAACCCCTCCTCAGTCTTCCTATAAAAGCTATACTATTTCCCATTCCAGACAGATCCATATGTGCCCCCCAGTCCCTTCCTCTCTGCATTGCTTTTCTGGGTCTTAGCCATCTTGTATTTAAAGACTAGTATCCAGATATAGGCCAATATGTATCACTTTCATATTTCTTGATCTGGGTTACCTCACTCACTATGATTGTTTTCTAGGTCTAGCCATTTGCCTTGCAAAATTTATAATGTGATTTTTAAAGAGCTGAGTAATATTCAGTTGTGTAATTGTATCACATTTTTGTTATTGATTCCTTACCCTGTATTTTCTATAATTTTTTAAAGTAAGTATGAACAGGATAATGCCTTGGAGTTTGGTGTTGTGGAATGGTAGTTTAACTAGGCAAAGATGTGTTATTTTGTTTACACTGAGGAATGCGACTTTAACTGTGTAAAGGTGTGTTACATTTGTTTATGTTGCATTTGTTTAATTATGTAAAGTTGTGTTGCATTTGTTTCACCTCGCCCTGCCTAAGGCAACTCTTTGGTCTAACAAAGATCTGAATGGCCAATAGAGAGGCAGAGAAAGGATAGTGGGTTTGACAGGCAGAGAGAATAAATAGGAGGAAGAAGAGGATTGGAGAGAACAAGGGAGAAAGAGAGGGAGATGCCTTGGGTCAGCCAGCAAACACAGACAGAGCAGGACATACAGAAACAAAGGCCAAAAGCCCTGAGGCAAAGGTAGATACAGAGAAACAGGTTAATGCAAGTTAAAAGAGTTAGCCAGAAATTAGTCTAAACTAGGCTGAACATCCCAAACTAATAATATTATCTCCAGGTCATGCCTGGGAGCCGGCTGCTGGCCTAAAAGAAAAGCTTGTTAAAGTTTGGAATTTCAAACTTTATTCAACCTGGAATATCAGTCTAAGGGAAAGATTATTAAACATTGCCCTGTGTCATACACAGACATAAAAACTATTTGGGGCCAAATCCCTACCAGTAATCTGTGATTAGTAATCTGTAGACTGGCTATTTTGAATACAGATCCAGCAAAGGCTCTCTGACAAGCACAGTGCTTTCAAAAGAATATAATGAGTGCAAAAAAGTTTTCTGCAATTCAGCATCCATATGGCCATTTTTACCTTTATCTGGCATTTTAGCCATATTTCTATCAAAGTATTTGATAAATCTCTTAGAAGATATATTCTTTCGCTAGTGCTCAATTTTGGGATTAGACACAAATGTCTCAAGCTGTGTTAAAATATTTTCCAGCCAATGAATTTGAGTACAGGAAACAGGGCTGCTGTTTATTTTATAAAACATAAAAGTTGTTCAAATTAATGAAAATTGTAAAATGTTCAGCCTGGCGGAATATTATTTTCTAGTAAGAACACAATACCAGAATTTAATAGATCTGAAAAGTTATATCTGTGGGGAACTCTCATGTCACTATTATATGAGCTAATTAAGTCATGAGTAAATGGTTATATACCTTTCATTTGAAGTGTTTGTTTTATTCTTCTATGCACTGTTACCATGTACAAGTAAAAAGCTTAATAACATTATGACACACAGGTTGTAATATCTTTTCTTGTAATAGTTCATTTTCAAGCATCACATTCCTGTAGAAGGTACTGGGACTCTAGACACAGGGGTTGTTACATGGATTTTTATGATTTACAATGGGTAAGAAGACCTTAGAATTCTTTCACATGAGGTGATAATTTTCCTTTGTTGATCTATAATGCTTGCAATTCAAAGTATGTTTTGTTTCTGAAGTGCAGGGGTGGGGAGGGTGCTTCTCTCCCTTCTATAGTGTGTTTTCGAGGAGCATTTGCTGGACTCTGACAGGTTTTATAGTTTTATGACAATATATATGAAAGACTGCTGGTAAATTAACTGTAGAGTAAAATTTCAGAACATCATCAGGAAAGGAAACAAAATGAGAAATTTTGTGTTACATGTATGATTTCTGGTTGCGCACATTGATCAATAATGCTTATGCTATACTCGTTCTGGTGAGCAATCTCACACATGTGTTATAAGCAGAGAACTTCATATTCACCAGGAGAATTACCAAGCTGGCTAGAGCAAATACTCTCTTATTATTTAATTTATCACTGCATAGTAAGTGCCCTGATAAAATTTTTACAAGATGTCATGTGCTGACTTCATCAAGACAGTTAATAACTTACATGTCTAAGTGGTGCTGGTAGAAATAAATTTGGATTCAGTGTGGAACTTGGGCTTGCTGCCTCCTCAAGATATTTTAGTTTTAATTAAATGTCACACTCAAAATAAGTGATGAGTGACCTGCTTCTTTTCTCCTAAAGGACTTAGAGCATAAAACTATGAAGGCAGAGATTGTTCATAAGACACTCAGCACACTAATTGATATTAAGCCATAGGTTCTCTTTTAATTTAATTTAAAATGATTTATTTGGAAATAGGGTCATATAAGGTAGATTATGGCCATATTGTTAAGTATGTCCTATATGAAGGGATTTGTGATTTATCAACATATTGGGTAGTCTAACTTCAGATAGGGACTGGTGAAGATATTGGCTTGCCACAGTCCAACACACTGTTGATCATATTTCAGTCTGGACACAGATTAATGGAGAATCTTGTTAAGATGCAGATTGTGATTCAGTTCATTTGAAATGGAATCTAAGAATCTGCAAAACAGGGACGCTTCTGGCTGAGGTCAATGGGATAAGTCTGGGAATTAACTTATGAATAAGTTTGGCTGTAGGCAAGGTTTTCCTGTCCTGACCATGGGCTCCAAAAAAATACACAGAGGCTGAATATGAATTACAAATGCTCAGCCAACAGTACAGTCTTATTCCTAATTAGCTCTTACATTTTAAGTTAACCCATATTCCTTATTTATGCTATGCCCCATGGCAGTATCTTTATTAACATGCCATGGTCATCTCCTGCTCCCAATGCATCTGTTTGGCAACTTCAGCCTCTGTCCTTCTTCGTCCCAGCATTCTCCTGTTCTGGCTTTCCTGCCTACATTTATTCTGTTCAGCTATTGGCCAGTTAGCTTCTTTATTAAACCAACCACAATGACATATATTCACACAGTGTAAAGGAATATTCCACAGCAGATGGCTAAATTTTCTTGCCATTGATAGCAGGCAATGAACCCTAGGCCTTTCAGCTGATACATCAAATTTTCTGAAATGCAAACACAATAAATAAGTAGAATATACATATAACATTAAAAAAAAACATATGGCCACCAGCAATATCACCCCCAAATGTATGGGATTGTTACATTCTACACAGTGAGAAATCACAGTAAGTGAGAGAGAAGTGTAATGGTGTTGCTTTGGAGGCATTGGAAGGAACAGTAAGTTGAATTTAATATTTTAGGCATTTTTTTTACTCTCTCTTTTGGAATGTTTTAGGAGAGGAGTTTCAAAAGATATTAAGAGAATCTTTTACTTTAGATAACAGACAATGGGATACAGCCTAATGGGCAACATTTGGTGTCTAGTTCCAAAATTTTGCATTTAAATGTAGGTTTAAGGGTCCAGTAGTGTTATGAATGATTCAAAAAAAAACCCAAAAGATCTGTAATTGGACTTAAGACTCACTCAACAAAAGGAAAGTCATGCTTGGCCTTAGAAACCTAGATAGTTACTTAGAGCTAATGAAATCATGGATCCTATAGAGGACCCTACCACCACAACTTTACTAAACAAAAATAACCCTTAACTACATTTGACATATTTGTCTTATACTCTGATGTAAGTGTAGTCATTGCCCCTTTATCAAGTAAACTTCCCTTACAATGGACAGATTATTGCAGAATTCAGCAAATAATCATAAGTCAGAGATGTAGAGCCCAGTAGCAATTGATTCATTATATACAAAGCAACTCCTGCCTCTAAGTCTCAGGGAACATTGGAGAAGAAGGGGCAGAAAGATTGTAAAAGCCAGAGGATAGGTTGTTATTCTTTTGCTTAAATTAAAGATAAAGAAGAGAAGGAGGCCCATGATGAGACACAAGATGAGACATATTAACCAGTTTATTTTAGGCCCTGCAGAGTAGAGAGACTAAGAAAGAAGAGAAATAGGGTTAATGGCTGACCGCCATGGCTGGTTGCCAGAGAGAGAGAGAGAGAGAGAGCGTGTGTAGGTGGGAGAAGAGAAGAACAGGAGGAGAGAGTAGAGATAGCATAAATGGGCAGGAGTCTGTCTTTTAAAGGGGTCCTTTGCACCTGTGTACAGACTTAGTTCCCATGGAACCCAGGGCTGACCGGGTACTGCCTGAGCGGATTCCGACAGGTAACTGAGGCAGGCCAGCATAATGTCTGAACCTTTCATTGGCAATCTTTCTGTGAGATTTTTGTTTCCTAGGAATAGAAGAAACTATACCCATAACATCTCACCAACATGTCTACCTAAACTTGAGCTAAACAAGGATGACAACAACAGACGTGCCAACATGGATAGTGGAAATCTCTCAAAGCCTTGCCCCTACAGAAAAGACAAACAAACAAACAAACAATAAAACCTATGTGCAATTAATGCTGAGTGTGGTAGAAATAGTCTTCTTCCACTACAGTTGTCTATGGATATAAGGTTAAGTACATGATGTATAAAAACCAGGGGCTCGCGGATCTCTGTGAGTTTGAGGCCAGCGTGGTCTCAGAGAGAGTGCCAGGATAGGCTCCAAAGCTGTACAGAGAAACCTGGTCTCAAAAACAAAAACAAAAAAACAAAAAACAAAAACAAAACAAACCAAAAATAAAAACCAGGCTCCTGAGCTGGAACAGAATTGAAAGACTGTGGATTACCTTCCATGCTACCAAAAGGCACAGGCACAGGCACACAAACACACACACACACACACACACACACACACACAAGGTTCCAAAAGAGGTAAACAGCTAATAATCCTAACCAGATATGATGCCTATTGACTACAACAATATCAACATGGTGCAGTATCTGTAAGGTTGCAGTAGTGGCATACCAACCCTGGCTTTAACAGAAATGTTAGTATTCAAGCATCTGCACTGGCCTGTCCTTGGGGTTCTGACAGGACATGCCCTCAGCTGCAGCCACTAGGAGCACCACCTGTGCACTTTCACTACATTCCCTTTTAAGAGGGCTCTGCCCACATCTCACCCTCAATTCTCTCTCAATTTTTCTCTCCCTCACCCTGCCCCTCTTCTCTTCTGTTGGTCTTGTTACTGAAGGCTAGTCTCCCTGCCTCCCCTTTCCCCTTTTATGATCCCTTTCCCTAATTAAAAAAAAAAAGATACCCTCTGCCTTTGAAGTGTGTCATGTGGTGTCTTTATCTATCAAGCTACTTTTTCTTAAATGACAACAACAACACATCTCTGATTGAACTTAAAGCCAATCAAAAGACTTAAGTCATGCCGGTACATGGAAACCTAGTGAAGTACTCAGAACTAGTGAATTCACAAATCTTGTAGAAGTACCTACAGCCACTATTGTAAGAGCCAGAAAATGAGGAAGTCTGTTGTGAAACTGTCTATCTCAGTAATGACTTCATAAACAATTCCAGAAGAATGGCAATGTCAGTGGACATGTTAAGTGTTAAGGGGGAGATTTTATGGGTTATAACCCCTAGACAAAGGAGTACAGACAACTAATGACTGCCAGTAGAAGGAGAATTAACCTCCAAGTGAAAGTTCTAGTACCAGAAAAGCATCACATCGAATTAAATTGTTTGCCAAAACGGGTCTGAAGACAACCATAAACAACTCAAACTATTGTTATGGTTATTGGTTTCTCCCCACAAACTTTCAATTGCTGAAAAAAAAAATGTATGTCTCATTGAAACAAAGTTGAGCTGGTGCATAACTAGAGCCCTCACTTCTACTGACTAGCATTTATGATAATGTAAGGTACTCTGCTTTATACAAAAAGAGCAAGCCAACCAACTAACTACCAACCAACTCAGCTGCAAAACCTGTGGTTTACAAAAGTTACCCTGCCTTTATGATGCACTGGCGCAATGGTGGCTCAAATGTCATGGGAACAGCCAACCACTTTCTGAATAGAATTAAGACCCACCCCATGGGGGGGCGGAGAATCCATGCCTGACACTTCACAGGTGGCCAAGAAGATGGAGTTAAAGAGGTCATGGGACTATTGGGAAACCAAATACTATTCTACTGAAGGAACAAGGCAATAAAATGATTCTTAAATACATTTTGATGTACCCATAGATCAGTGCATCACTCAGCCATAATCAGAGATGATTTCTCTCACAGTAGATGGGAACTAATACAGAAACCAACAACTGTACCATGTGCAGAAACTGAGAGACTTTAGAACTCACTCCTAATTGTAATGCATTCTTCAAAGCCTAGAGACTCAGAGAAATCTGCAGAAGAGTAGAGGAAAAGATTTTATGATCCAAAGGGAATGGATGACACAAGTCTCCACAAAATATTACTCATGTACTTATGAACTCAGAGAGACTGAGACAGCATTTGTATACCTGCACAGGTTCAAGCAACAATGGAAAGTCCCAACACTTTGGGGGTGACATGGACAAGATCTCCCATCTCTAAGCAAAAATTTGACTCCAATTTACAACTGCTTGCAAAAACAAAAATGTTAGCTTTCTCTGATGGAGTCTGTCTGGGTGTAAAAGGCACACTTAAGAAGAGGTCCTATCTCAGCAGTAGATGGCCACCATAAATGCACTCTCAGTGATGGTTTTTAGATATTTTTTCTCATATTGCTTTGCTGGAATATTTTTTATCTTTTAGTCTTTTGCATGTTTATTATGTTCTCTGAGTTTGTGTTTTTACAACAGGTGTACATGTATGTTTCTTGTGATGTTTTTCTTTTTTAATTGTCTGACACCCCTTTTCCCAAGTTTGTTTTCTAAGAGAGAGCCATTAAGAGGATGGGGAATACTAGAGTATCTAGAAGGACATTGACAAAGGGATTAGAATATATCATATGAATTTTCAATATAAATAAATAAAATGAATATTTGCTTGATTTTAATTTGGAGAGGATAAAATCTTGAAAATCTTATTTTGAAAGAATACAAGTAGACTGTAGACTGCTATGTTTTTATTTGTATTAATTGTAGGTATTTGTAAGAATGTTATAGCCATTTTATTAATTACAAAGATGGCTTGCCTGGCTTCTGATGATTACAGCTTGAAATTGCAAATTTTACATATCTTATGTGAAAAAGAACTTTAACCTTTGATAAACATACCTTTCACATATCACTTCAAATAAAAATCTTAAATTTATCATTTGTATTATAAGAGTATTTAAGGAACTAAAGAGGCCTAAATTAATTCCAAAAATAAAAGTATTTTACTATAAAATTTTTAGAGATTTTTCATCCTAGTAAATCATTTTATAGCTTATTATTTTTCTGTCATATTTGACCATTAAGCCATATTTTGAAAGGATATATCTATCAAAATCTATGTATCCAGCTTTAAATTTCATAACTAAATTAAACTTTTATTTCTTGATCATATAAATATAATTTCATATTAATGAGTAGCATTTTTAAGGTTTCATGAAATATTTATGAACCTACAAATGGCATTGTAATAAATTTTAAGGAGCTATGAATATTTAAATGTATAGGGAGTATTCATTTTTTACATAATCCCAACACACACACAGAGAAGCACCAGAAACACACACTTTAAATTGCACACCCAAAATGACAAATATATTGCTGCGTGCGAAAATATAAAAGTGAAAATAATGAGGTAGCAACAGGTTTATTACTCCATAATGTTTAGTATTCCTGGAGACCCAGTTTTGTCACATGTTCACTTAGACACAACATATCACACTATTGTATGAACACAATGATGAGCACACATGACCCACTTATTCTTAACAGAGAACAAGGTTTTTTGATCTCTATCTTTGGAAGAAACATGGGTAACTCTTGAAGGATCTGTGGGGTTGGCCTGCTCTTCTGTCTTCCAGTCTCTGGGCACCTTCATTTCTGCAATGTGGTGATAAAAGAGGCTGTCCCTTCCTCTTCTGGGAATGGAGACACCATGTTCTAATGACAGCTCTCTGGGTCCTTGTGCATCTCGCATGACCTTGGAGGGCATTTGGTTCACTCATGTATGTAGGCTCCGGGAACTTCAAAACAGAAACAGGTCTGGGATTTTATCTTTGGTCTCCGAGACTAATCGAATGTTTGCTTGTTGGGAAGGCCTTTCCGATGGGGTCTATAACGTGATCACGATCTTTTCCTTCCCCATCTCACTGTTTCCCTGTCTGTGGTCTTGCTTCAGTTCTTAATTTTTGAGTTCTCAGGTCACATGGGTCACTTTTACACTTTCCACCATGTAAAACTCTTTGGGAGAAGAGGGATCCTTGTTGCATCATTTCCTCAAAGCCCCAATTAGCCTGCTGCAAATTAGGAGAGGACTTCCAGCTTTTTCTTGAGTAACATTTTGAAACTTGTTGTAGGTAACAAATATGTAACTTCAGTTGAATTTGTTTTGTTGCAATGATGTTTATTATCAATTCCACAGCCCTGGGGCCCTGTGGGAGTATTAAGTCTTAAACAGTGGGTTGTCAATATGGGAAGAGCTGCACACTGGGCAGATGGTGGTTAGTACTTTAAGCCAGTAGTTTGTCAGTGGGCATTTGAACTTTGCTCTCCTTCTTGTTTTTGTTTCTTTAGGGTGTAGTACATAGTTAGGATTAATTACAGGCCTTCATTCCAATACTATAAGCTAGTTAATGTCTGAAAGTAACTGGTCAGTCAGGATGGTTCATCAGAGAACTTTCCTTGATTCTCCATACATTCTTGTGATTCAAATAGAGGTGAAGACTCCAGTTAACCTCCAGGGTCCTGGCACATGCCTTAGTGATAATGCTGAACAAACAGACGCGGATGGATGACAGGAGGTTCTACTCCTTGCATCGTCATTAGGTCCGTGTTCTCTTAGGTGGAGATGTGGCAGTGCTTTGGTGACAACAAAATATTTTAGCTAAGTTCCCTTTTTCAAATGGTTTCTGTTTACATGCTGGCATGGGGACACTAGCAAGTGTTATCTAAGGTATCAAATTACTATGTGCCTTCTTCTGCAGTAGCTGTTTATCTTTGGAGATGGTCATGAAGACCTGGTGTAGAAGGCATTGCAAATTATTTCTCTTTCATAAGAAAAGTCTGGATGCAGTATCACACAGTTTACACTTCTATTCTTCACTCAATCATTATCATACCCTCCCACCCCCCAGCTTGTTTAGAAGCCTCTTTTTCTTTACAGCCTCAGGGTAAAACTAATTCCAGTATTTGACCATGCATCATAGATGGGAATAAAAGCAATTAACCTACACATTTATGATAATGAGTCAGGGAAGTACAAGGCCTACATTAGTGGACTTCTCATCCAATCTGTGTGCACAAGGAGAGTGGATACTCTGCAGATCTCTTTGCTGTCATTGTTACCCAGGAATCTTAGACTACACCCAGTGCAGCAGCTGCAGGGGAGTTGGAAGCAGTGGTCTGAGAATCAACTCTTTAGGGCTTTCTTTACCTGACCAGAGTTTGAACCAGTCCCTTGTGCTGTTTTCCATCAGGACTTTCGTAACTGTTAGCATCACATTATATGTAGGCATCTCACAATAGCTTGCCCGCCATTTCAAAGTGAGCTGTGGACTGTGAAAGGGAGAAAGAAGGAAAGGAGGCAAGAAAGAGTGCTGTGCTGCTGGGCACTGGCTTCTTTGTGGGAGAGAGAAGTGAGAAGTCTGAAAGCATTTAATCTTCCATTGTGTTAAAGTTCAGAGATTATAGACATAAACCAATTGTACCTTCTGACTGGCAGATCACCAATTGTTACCTGCATGAATCAGAGAGCACCTGCTGACATATCTAGCTTCTTGTTTCCGGGAACAAAGAAGCACTGCAGTAGCATACAGTGATGGAAATAGAGACAGTTTATTAAGAGAAAGAGAGTCACTCCCAGGAAGAAAAGTGGGCTAGACAGCTGGAGAGGTCTGAGCTCAAAAGTGCTGAGCCCTGGGAGTGTTGGCCCTACATAAGTCATTTGCATAACATACCACTTCCTCTCATATTTGCATATTATACATTTTTTCTTAGGTACATGCCACTGCCTGAGCAACTGTGGGTATCAGAGGGACCCGGAACTGAGGATAATGGTAGGCAAAAGCACAGGACTGACTCTGGGTTCCCTTCAAGAACGAAATATCTCTATTGTTCCCATTGCTGTTTACTCATTGTTTATCTAACCTCTAGAAAGAGCACTGCAAGCAGAGGTTGATCAAATGCTGTTTTTGAATCCATCATTTGGTACTCACTCAAACTATGTGGACTTGTTTTGTCCTGAAAGATATTCTCCCCTAAGCACTGTCTCCTGCCTGAGGTTTTCCACATTCAAGGGGCCACACCTGGGCTGGGGGTTGCACATCCTAAAGATCTGTAGACCATCTGGACCCCAGCAGGTATGTTCTGTCACTTGGAGGCAGCTCTGCTAGGAATAGGTTTCCAACCTATATGCCAAATGACTGTTTCATGTTAGTTGGTTCTCTCCTTGCCCATCTGTCCCTCTTCATTGAATCAAGCTAAAGCAAAGCAAAGAAAAACTCCAAGCTCACCACCTAGAGAAAGTCTTATTCTATGGAGTTTCAGTTTCAAAAGGAACCACAACCCTTTCAAACCATCAGTCTCAAGAGGAGTGTTCAACACACAAGCCTGTGTAGATTATTCCTCATACAATCCACACTCTATTGTAGATCTCATGTGATGTTTAAATGCATGCACAAATTATCTAATACTTACCTTGTATTAAACATGTCTGCCTTAAAACCATTACTTTGTTTTGGACAGAAAAAAATTCAAGTCCAATATTCCAGTGTATTAAAATACTGTGAGCACATATTATTTCTTTAAACATTTCAGAACAGTTATGTTTTTAACCAAGTCTAAAGTATGCATTTATGAAAACTAATATTTATATTTTTTCTGTTTGTTGTGTCAGCTGTTATTCACTGTATCTTACAACACTATTTTTCTTTTAAGGCCAGCCCATGATGCTATTCTGAATAGAAGCTCACCTATATAAATATTGGAAGCGTAGGCTGTATTGTGTGTCTTCCAAAGGCAGTTATGCTTACCACAATTGACTGTTAGCTCTTCATGCCTTTCTATTGTAGAAGTCCACTTCCTTGGATTTTTCCCGAGAACACACATTCATTATTAAAATCATGAATCTCTCCACGAGACAGAACTGTTATGGATATAAATTCTGTGCTCACAGGAGACAAGTATCCTTGTCTTCATCTGAGAGCATTGATTGTATCTATTTTCTTTAGCACCAAGAGTAGATCTTACTCCAGTTCCATGCTGTGTACCTGTAGCACCACTGAACATAGGACCAACTTGGACACGTCTTTGCTGCAGTCTGTGCTCAGTGGAAGAGTGTTGGTTACTCTGATGTACTAGTTCACAGCACAGGCTTGTACACAGACTTCATTATTTTCTCTATTCTTTGTGCCCATGTTACTTTATTGAGTAATTATTATCTATTTCTGAGAAATGGAAATTGTGGAGGCAGGATTTGGAGAATGCTTTCACTGTGTAGTCTTCCCCTGATTTGAAATAGGTCTGTCAATTTCTATGAGAACTTTTTAATTATCTTCTAAAATTCTAAAACACTTGGTTAAGGTCTGTACTAACCTCTCAGTTCCTCCACTAGACTTACTTATCTTGTAGATGTTTCTATTCATTCACCTTTCCTGGTTAAGACTCCATTTTCTTGTGTTTGGGTCCTTTGGTAAATATTTTATTAATAAAAATAGCACATTTACAAATTTTGTTATAATGATCATATAAGATATGATTTTAACAAATGTCTGACTGTTGGAAGGAACTTTCCTTTACCTAATATACAATATGATTAAACAAATAAGACACATCCAATTTTTAGGAGAAAGGAAAGTATGGATATGATCCATCATATATCTGACATAATTTTGATGAATAAATATAGATAACATTTAGACTGGTATGAAATGCATGCTATTGTAAAATAAAATTTCTTGTACATATTTATAAAACTTGTGTGTTTTTCCATAGATAAAAATGAAAAATTGACAAAAAAGATTTGAGTGATACATCAATAATTAGAATTTGCACTCAAAACACCAATTAACTGATTCTCAAATTTTTTTTTCAGCTCTTCTTCAAGTGACAATTTCACTTAGCAAAGTAGAGCTTAGTGTGGGTGAATCTAAATTCTTCACATGTACAGGTATGTATTCATGTAATGTGCCCTGTGCTTTTAATGTTTATAAAGTGCATTGGATATTTAAATAGTTAGAATTGACATTATTAAAAATAACATCTTATCATTTATTATATGATAAACTATTGAGAAAAATTATGTAATAACACTATGAACTTTATTTTTATTTACTTAGTCATCAAAGATGCTAATTTATTTGTAAAATTACATTTAAAATAAAATCTATGTATAAGAAACTTTATATGATTTAAATATTATTCTCATATAAATAGCCATATTAGGACTAATTTTTAAGATTAAAGATGACTATCCTTGTACTTAAGTAATGAATAAATTAGATACAACACTGCATAATGCTAAACTTGAAAGAAAAGTAAAAAATAATGAAAAAAATAATGAATATCTTTTTGAAACATACATTCTAATTCAGAATATATAATCAAGAAATATTTTTGAATTTTTTCTGGCAATTAATCATTATATTACATAGCATTTCCGCAGAAAATTAAATGAACCTCATTCCCTTTAATTAGAATTCTAATTTTTTCAGGCAGCCTTTGTGTACTTGATCTGAAAGCCTTGATTCACTGCAGGATATAAATCTCAAATGAACACGTTATCCATCTGCTTATATTATTCATAGCCACATTTATGAGTATAAGCTAAATGTATATTAAAAAAACTATTCACTTAATGCTAAACCAAAATACAAATCTATTTTCAATTTGCCTCCATTTCGATTATAGCTATATAATGTGAGACCAGATTACCATAAGTATTCCTGACATAAATGATACAAAATTTGCTTAGGGTACTTGTAGTATAAGTTTGCAGGAGAGTGCTTGCCTAGTGCATGCAGAGACCTGATTTAAATCACCAGGATCACACAAAAAGGAAAAACGTTTTCTTGACAATGATATGGCTTATTTAAATTATGTCAATTATTAAAAATAGAAACATCGCTGTACAAACATTCATGAACCATACTCAGAAAAATATTGGACCTTATGACTAGAAAATAACAAAAACAAAAGTTTTTTTAAAGTCTACTTACTTGTGTGTCTTAAATGACTCATATGGTGAGACAAATATTTTATACTGATAGAGTATCAGAGGTGAATAATACTGCTTTATTAGTTTCACTTTTGACAGAGGAATTTTGGCCTAAGTGTATGGGGTACTGTTTTTATATTTCACATGTTTTCTATACACAAACACTAAGTTTTTTAAATTACATAAAATGGAAAGCTGAAAATCTATTGCAAAAGTAAATAAATTTTATTTTGTAGATTAATACAACTTGATATATATAAATATATATATCGCATCTGCTCTGATATAAAAATAAAAATAAACAAGTAGTACAATTGAAAATATGTAACTTAATAAGTTATTGAGTTTCCGAAAAATAAGTAGATTAATGTCAGAAACTACGCAAATCAGTGTGAATTATTTTTTCTACTCTGATGGTCAATATATAGAGAATACTTTAAATTCAGATACCTTAAAAATATGAAAGACTGAGTCTCTACACTTATAGTTGAACTTTGAACTAGCCAGTGATCTATCATATGATTCATGAAAGGTCTTCCCTCATTCAGTAAATATTTTAAATATACTTTCAGAGAAGAAATATTTTTGATCATCTTATTAATGTGTGTAATAGACACATTCAGTTTTCATATGGAACATCTATTTTTAAAAAGTATCACTTACTTGATATTCTAAAAGAAGCAGAACTGTGATTGCTCTTTGTAAATTCAGTGGTAACTCTGTGATAGTGAAATTTCCCTATCATAATATTAGAAAATTAAATGTCTGAAATATTTTTACAATATCACATTAAATTTAAAAACTGTGATATTTTTGTACTAATCCAAATTGAGCTGATACCCATTTATGGCTCATTCCTTTTATCTGTCTACATTATTTGCAAAGGATGATATTTTTTAGAATATTTCATAACAATAAAACAAGAAGGAACTATTTCCTTCACAGAGACCTGTGGTAGTTAACTTTATGCATTTCCCCACTACTTTTGTGTGAATACATGTTAGGTGAAGTACTTATGTTTGTTGACTGGAAGAAATGGCAGGAAGCTTTAGTTTTGATGAAATGGTTCATGACCTACATTCTGAATTGGAAACTTTAAACTAATGTCTACACTATAATTGCTAAGCAGGATAAGTGCTATTTCCATGAATTCTAATTATAATATGATTAAAAAGTTAATATTTTTAAATGAAGACAGAATAACTCATTTTAGTGGGGAAAAGACATTAGGATTTATTTTTTAAATATCAATTAGTGTTTTCTGCACCACTTGAACGAGTTGGAAAATTAGTTCAAAATTTAGAAATACCAAAGGCCAAAATTTGTTTTACAAAATATTTACATGTTTACAAGCAATTCTTTATCTGGGCCAATACTTCAGCTGCCTCTTGACCTTAGCAGTGAGAACTGAGCATATGAAACCATGTAAGCATTTGTTTCTTAGAAATATCTTTCAATTGGGCTTGTGTCTGCCTAAGGCAGTTTTAATATTTTGTGCAAAAATAACCCATATATTGTGACTGTGAAGCTTCAATTCTCACAGTTTAAATTCTAGTAATATATTTCAGATGAAATGTTTGAAGTTTGCTTACATGGACCAGACGGAGTCCTTAATGTTGTTTAAACAAAGATGAACATTTGTCTTAACATTTGTGTTTACTTTCAGTTTTGTACAATTTTCAGATTTCCAGTCTTCTATTGACATTCTTTTCTAAATTGCTGAAATTGTTACGCAATAGTAAATGTCACTGTAAAAACAAACACTCCAAATCGATGTTCACACATTTGTCTTCCTCCCTGCAGCAATTGGTGAGCCTGAGAGTATAGACTGGTATAACCCTCAAGGAGAGAAGGTCATTTCGACACAGAGGGTTATGTTACAGAAAGAAGGGGTCAGGTCACGTCTAACCATCTATAATGCAAACATAGAAGACGCAGGGATATATCGCTGCCAAGCAACAGATGCCAAAGGACAGACACAGGAAGCTACAGTAGTTTTGGAAATTTACCGTAAGTTTGTGCATTTGTGCTTTAGTTAATTGAAACAATAGTTTCATTACAAAGGATTCAAACACAATAATCTATGCTTAAAAGTAAAAACTGGAACTCAGTAATAAAAGTGAAGGGTGTTAAAGTCCATATGTTTTTAAATAGACACTAAAATATGTCTTGCTCTTTTGTTTTTTGTTATTATAAAAATATGATATATTCAAATAAAATCCAGAATTTTCTAGGGAAGGTCTTCATCTTTGGCCTTTTCTACCTCTGTCACATTAAAATTTTCTGGAAAAGATGTTAAAAGGATATCTTATGGTGCTTGTTTCTCTAAATACAAAAGAAAATATTGATAATTTATAGGCATAGATTTGAAAGCATTTTTTCATTACTTTTTTGAACAATGCATGAAATCCTTGGTAATTTAATTACTAAATTAAAAATGAGTGAATTTTGTTGTCAAAACAATTCATGTTGTTTTTGAAAAACTGTCTTTTGAACATAAATTTCTTTGCTCACTCATTAAGCCAAGACACTTAGTGGTGTCTAATAAGTGTTGCTCTTAGTCTTACACTGTAAATAATCTAAATATAGGCATGTCATACATAGATGTAATGGAATTTCACAGAAAATAAGTAAATGTGGATAGAGAATTCAAAGAGTTGAAGTTGAAAGTTAATTTTCAAAACAGCAATCATCACAGTCAAGAATACTTAAGAGAATAAAGGCAAAACCGTGTTCTTGGAGTACACTGGCAAGGTGCAGTGAACGTGAGATCAGCATTTATGAAGTTTGTAACTGTCTAATGTTTGGTTACATTAATAATCAGATGAGAACATTTTGAGTTGAATAAGCAATAAACCTTTAACAAGTGGTCTTATTTTCTTGATGCAGAAAAACTCACCTTCAAAGAAGTGGTCTCTCCTCAAGAATTCAAGCAAGGGGAGGATGCAGAAGTGGTTTGCAGGGTTAGCAGTTCACCCGCCCCTGCTGTCAGCTGGCTGTATCACAATGAGGAAGTCACCACCATTCCAGACAGTTAGTATTTTGGTAACTCCTTAAGTTATATGTTCTCCAAAACTCTTCAAGCTTTTCAAATATGAAACTTCTGTGTTGTAAGAAAAGAAACATAGAGTCAGACATGATATTGTGTGCCAGTATTCTCTGCACTTAAAAGCCTGACACCGGAAGTTGTGATCCCAAAGTCATCCTAGGCCATAGCAAGAATCTGATTCCAAAACAAACATGCAAACAAGAAAAAAGATGGTATAAATTTCGCTTCAGGTTCCAAACAATTATTCTGAGATTTAAGACCTAGATCAAGGTTTACTGTACTCTGATCTTTGAGCCAAATTCTGTACACTTGTTGCATTTCCTAAGTTAACAAAGAAAGACCTGTGGCCAGCCGTGTGGAATGTGCTGTAAGCCCAGCACTTGTCAGACAGATGTTGAAAAGTCCCGAGTTGAAAGTCACCTCAGCTTCATAACATTTCCAAATCCAAACTGTAATTTGAGGTTACACGTAAAAAGCAAAATACAACAAAACAGAAAACAAACTAGCAAGCAAGTAGACAAACAAACAAAAACAGCCATGTTCAACAGTTATGTTTTGTCTCTGGCGGATTTGGCAGCAGAATTGTCAAGTGATTTATTATAGAAAAGCAAAAGAGTTACTTTAAGTACTACTATAGGGAAATATGTGTTCTTGCCTTCTGTTCCTACCAGATATTACTATACTGTTAAAAAATGAAAAACAAATAAATATAGATGGTGAAGCATCTATAATCTACTTGTTATAATTCAAAGACCATGAGAACACCATATCCAAGTAGAATATAATATCAGTTCGAAATGTGCCTTACATTCTATGAATGTTCTCTGAAAGAATGCAGCATATTCTGAGCATTATGGAAAGATAAGTATGGATAATTGACAGAAGAGAGGATTTGTTCAGATTGTCATCATGATTTTGATTCAGACTGAGGTAAAATTCCAGAATATGACATTTGAAATTGAAAGCATAATTTGCTTACATTATGCTACTTTACTATTGTGCATAGGGACATTTTCAATTTGGTATATTTTTCAATGCACCTGCATTGCATAGAGGTACAAATAATTGTATCTTTTAAAGTATTTTCCATGTTAGATGATTCCATTATGTGCTTTGAAGAGATGAAATTTCCACATCACAGAGTATAGGAAGGAGGTCTATTTTTAAGTATGTTTAGAGAATGTGTCATAATTATATTTAGTATTCATTTTTTATTTTAAGATAATTTTCACAAGCATAACACACTCAGTATTTGTCAGTTAATGATAAACTATTGTTTTTATTCTAATTTAATAAATTATAGCATTTAGTTACTTCTTATTTTGGTGTGTATAAATGCTGAAGCTTTAGGCAAATTATATGAGTACTTTAGGCAAGGTGTTTTCAGCATTGTCCTACAATCTGAAAGGATGTGAAGTTTTTTTATAATAATGAAATTCGATGTCTACCCACTTTCAGATTACCCAGTATTGGAGCTTGCATTTACTTAAGGTTATTATAAACCTCACAAGAAGGTTTAAAATGAGTAGTAGTTTTAAAATGTGACTTGGAACACAGCCTTAAAACCAAGAATGTTAAGAAATGTAGTGATGAGGGAGAATTGACACTTCTGTAGCATAGCTGACATGGTTTCCCAGCATCCTGCAATGGAATATGCCAATCGGGATTTCTCATCAGATTCTTCTCCCACCCTTTGTCTTGAAACACTGAAGAGCTTTTCCCGACTCCTGTGCTCTTACTGAAATATTCTATCAGTAGTCAATGCATCAATGCATCCACTTCAAGCACTTTCTGTAGCCTGTAAATAACGTATCAGGCATTCATAAGTGTTTGCTATATAAATAAATGATATAGATCTGTGATTCTCAATCATGATATTTATTTTATTAATCTTTTATTCTATTTTTAAAGTTGACCACAGGTTTTTCCAAAAGTGTGTGTATTCAGCTTATGCCTAGAAAAAGAAAAGTAATACCTACAAACCAGTTATCAGCATATTTAAAATTAGAACATATTAATGGGTTGTATAGCATGCAATGAAAATAAAATAATAATTGTGCAGCTCATACTTTGCTAATTCAGGAACATGAAAAACAGATTCTAAATATTTAGTATTCAAATAATTTACATATTTAGATTTATAGGAATATATTTGTATTGCATCTGGCATGTTCTGTCTTTTACAGCTAGATAAAAATTGGATATATATCTGAAAAATCATCGTGTGTAGGATTTTAAATTAAGTAGATGGTCTGGGAGTTCTCTTTGTTAATGTGTCATGGGTTACTACATTGGCAGTCAAGACCAGATATTGAAGGCTTCTGAGTTTTTCTTTAATTTGCTTCTGTTAGGACCTGTCTGTCAATACCCAACATGTCACTACCAGACGATAATTTAAGTAGGCTTTTCCCTTGTTTCTCTAAAGAAGACCCATCTGCTAAAGATCACAATCATGCAGTAAGCCCTGGTGAAGTACATGAAGTAGAGTTTCCTCAGTTTTAGTGGTTACTGACACAGGGATATACATCAACAAATACTCATCAACACGGCCTAATTTGAGAACTGGCTTATCAAAATTGTGATTGCTTTAGCTAGCATCTAAATACAGTACTCTTCGGTATCAGAACTATTCGTTATGTAATTATTTTGTAGTATAGAAGATTGAATGTTGCTTCATTGTTAGAAGACAATGTCATTGTCTTCAAAATATTGATAGTCTAGAGGAATATGAAAATAAATATCATTGAAAGCAAGGTACACAGAAATCTAGGAAAGGTAAGTTACAATGTCCCTGTGTTGCATAGATTGCTCAATTAAATTAGTGTTAGGTGCATCTCAAAGATACATGCAGTAGAAAAAATGTTACTTTAAGCAGACATAGGCATTATGTTGCTAGTACCCTACACAACACAACCCTACACAACCCTTGCTGAGAGGATGAGAAGACAAAGCTCCAACCACTCCAGCACTGGGAGCCAGTGAGTAGTCCAGCATGCTGCAGACTCATTTATTAAGGAATTTAGACCTGTTTTTATTCCCCCTCCCAAGGTCCTATTGACTCAGGCAACTGACTCTGCTGCATGTCCTTTCCTCATTGGTGTTTCTGGGTCAGGTCTCTCTCAGCATCTCTGGGCTTGAAGGCAGGCTCAGGGAGTAAGTGCCTGCATGCACACACTGCTTGGCCTCTGCAGTGGGCACAGGGCCACTGTGGTTTGGGTAAGTTGGCCACAGTTTCTCCGACATTAGTCTCCTCACACAAGGACTTTACATGTATGGCTGAAAATCTCACATGCCATGGCCTGGGAATAAAAGGAAGTACAATGACATCCCAAGGAACTGTTTTATGACACTATTCCTGGAACATCATGAACAAATTTCTATCTGTACTTAGTAGGGAGACAACTACAGACAAAAGCAAGTATACCATCGAAGTGAATTTGGTGAACCAAGGAGTTTTGTTGGGGTTACATATGAGTGGATAAAAAGTTACTTAGGGGAGCAGAAATGAGTTGAATATATTATATATGCATTACAAAAGTTCATTGCAGCTCAAATTTTAGAGAGCTAACAGTTTAGACAGTGCTTTTTCTGTATAGCTATCTAGTCTGAGGGAATCCTTCAGCACTTCTTATTGGTTATACAGGCTCTAGGAGAGAAAAACATAGTAAATAAGGTCAGTTCTGGGGACTTCCTCAGGTTTCGACATGCTTACCTTCTGGATCTAAGGGAAGATGGGAAATTTCAACTCCCTATAGAACAACCAAGTATCTTAAGGAGTTTCCCACCAAAGCAGGTATTTTATAGAATAGGTGTGGCGATTGCTGCCCATCAGGAACCTAAAACCAGCTCTGTCTTATTTGAACTTTCATATACATACAAACAGATTGCTTATACAAGTGAACAGGACTTGCCCAATGACTAAGGAACATGGCAAGAAAGACTATCAAAGTCATTATCCTTTTATCATTTCTAGTAAAGATCATGGAGATTTCTCAGAGATGCTGTCAAGAAGTGTTTCAATAAAAGCATTGACATGATCTCTTGTGTTTGAACACATGCTCCTATTTCAGCAAATTGAAGGACTTGGATGAGGATCAAGGCAATCTTCAAACATGGGGGTTGTTCAAGTCCTTAGGCAATAACTGCTGAGAGAGAAGATGATAGATGATTACTAATGGTATCACATAAATATTTGTTAGTTATGTAGACAAAAGTAGATGGAGATATGAAGGCTGATATATTGCATACACGACACAAAGTCTTCCAAGACTTGTGAATCTGCCCTTCATTCCATGGAAAGATATTAAACAGAATTGCATACATTCTGTGATTGGTATGCTTACAACACTCCTAAATTGTACTCTGAAATCAATAGGGACTATGGAGCTTGAAAGAAATCTTTCAGGTATTAAAATGTAACTTTTGAAACCTGTCATAATAGAAGAGACAAAGTATGGCATATATAAAATAAAGAAAAATCTGAGAATTAGAAAAAAGTAAAAGTTAATAGTGATATATGTATTATTTATTGGTTGCTATCTAATTTATATTTTTTCTAATTTTAATTATTAAAATTGAAATTGTTTGCAACTGGTAAAAGGAGTCTTGAATTTTTCAGACCTGTTACCTGTGACTTCTTGAAGCAGGCTTTTTAGGATATTCATTTTGGTGATGTACCTTATTTTTGTAAATTGCCAACAACTACAAGCTTTATATATACATTGGGATTTTATATGCCACCTCCACAGAGGTTGTTTTTACTATGGGCAGTTTTATAGACATAAATATATAAAATAATATGCATTTATGAAACTTTGCCTTTAGAGTTTGAATGGTCTCTAATCCATTACAGAAAGTAATTAATTAAAAGATAATCTAAATAGACAATTTTCTAATCAGAAAAATAAAACACTGGCCAATTACTCTCAAAGGTATATTATATGTCTATAACTATACATTTTCAATTAAAATATCACCATGTGTATTAAAAATAGTTCCTTTTTACAGCTTTTCTTACACCTTATAAAATAATATAATTTAAGGTTTTGACATTTATAGGATGTTACAAGTTTTCTGAAGTTGAAAAACACAGTACAATCAACATGATGTGGTTGGGAGCATTTTCATGTCCTTGAATGTCCTTAAACATAATTATTTCTTTTAAACATGATTTAATTAAAATATAATTACATCATTATCCTCCCTCTCTTTCTCAAACCCTTTACATAACCATTTTACTTGCTCACAAAGTTGTAGTTTTTTTCATTACAAATCACAATTACTGTCATATATATTTGTAAATATATACTGTCATATATATTTGTAAATATACAAGCACAACCTTCCAGTCTGTTTACTGTTGCGTACACATACACACATATATACGCACACACATATGTTTTCAGGAATGACAACTTTGTATTGGATAAACAAATAGAGGGCTCATCTCAGGGGAATGCTAATTCTCCCACTCCTAATGATTGTTATTTCCCTGTAGCTTTCAATCTCGGATTGGGGACCTGTGAGATTTCATGACTCAATGATAGCACATTAACTATCGTTGCCTTTGTCCACATCTTAAAAATAATTATGTTCTGTTCTAGTGTCCAACCATAAAATTTGATAGAATATATTTAAATTGACTTTGGGTCCTCACAAGTCTTCAGAACTTCTGAGTCATTCTGGAAGTTCTTAGACTTGTACTTTACAAGTCTCCCTTCTCCAGCCTTTGGTTTCCTTTGGTGAAGGCATTTCACATTTTCATTTTGACTTAACCGGGGAAGTCACTGTATGACTGTTTTGGCTGCCTTAGGTTAAAAACAAGAGGAATGAGCATAACAGATTTTTTTATATATTCTTTCTATTTAAAGACACACCTGTCTTCATAATTGTGCTCTTTTTGAGGCAACCTCTTAACCTACCCATTTCCATCTCACAAAGCACCTATTATTTAACAACTGACCACTTGATTCCCTTTTTTAATAACTAGCAGTCTGAGCAATAATATTTTGCTTATTTCTACTCTAAACACCTCTCCATCTCATTAGAAAAAATAATGGTGAATAATATAACACCTGCATTTGAGTCGGTGTGGATAATAATAGTTTTTCTTTCTTTTTTCCTACCATCACAACATGTACTTTTAAGCATGGATTTACTTCAGGACTCCCAGGTGTCAACTTCCTTTTCTTTTTCTTTATTTTTTGACAAATGTCTGAAATGATTTCCATGCATCTCTATTAAACCAGAAGATAGAGAAAAAATCAATAAACTTGGTCCAAACAAAAAAAGGAGCGTCTTGACAATAACTGGTCTAGGGAATTTGTTCTCTGTACTAAAGGAAATTCTATTTGACTCAAATATTCAAAATTAAAAACAACTATATCTACTTTAGTAACCAAAATTTTAAAAAGCATACATAGTCAAAAACTGTTGTTCAGTGCTATATGTGGATTCATTAATGGATGAAACATAAGATATTTACTGTGCAAGATGAAATTCTTAGATAAAAATAGTAGCATTTTGTTTAAAATTCTTAACACAGAACACAGACATTAGAGCATCATTTACAGAATAATAAAAGCCTTGGTACTACAAGTGTATTCTTTGATAATGGTGTTAAATAGAGATGACACCTAGGTGTCTCAGATAATTAAACATATCACTTCATAGCACTTTTGGACCTGGACTGATGCTCAGTAATTAAGAGTAAATGTGTGAGACCCAGGTTCAATTCCTGGTGCCCAGAACCTTCTGTAACCTCAGTTTCAGAGGATCCAATAGGCATTCAGCTGGTACATATACATGCAGGCAGGGACAAGTTTCATACACACAAAGTAAAATAATTAAAAAAACAAATACCATTTTTAGCAGTCAATAAGCCAAATTACATATGCCTTTGTAGCCTTCCTTTGTGCACATATGAACAGACAACACTGAACCTTGAAATAAAAATGAATGCCTGTGTCTAATATTCATAAAGGAGATTTATTTGTAATTTGCAGAAAATACTTAAATATATTCAAGTCATAACCATTTTTTATATCCTTTATGTGGTTTGCACATTAGTGTGTCATTTGGCTGCCTTTTCAGGTTATAGAAAAATTGGCAGTTTAATTATTCTTGGGGAAGGATGTTCAATATATTTTCTAACTATTTTCCACAGCCAAGTGGCTGTTAGCACTTAAAACTTGTCAAGTCAGCAATATCTACACTCCTTGCATTGTTTTTTGTGTACCGTCTCTGCATTCAGAGCACCTAGAATAAAATAATAGCCTAACCATTTTATGTGGATATAAAGTCTCAGATGTATTTCCAGGAGGGGACATAACAAGACAGAGGTAGAGTGAAAAACTTGAAGTTGTGAAATTACATTTTACTTTCAAATTTGGAATTTTTGGTTGATGAAAAGTTGGAGGGTGAACAGAAAAGTGCTGGAGTTTAACTCTCAGAAATTCAGAGTTCTCTGGACTCTGCCTCAATAACTGATGCCGTCTCCTCTCCTTTGCTTGCTTTACAGATCGGTTTGCTGTGCTTGCAAACAATAACTTGCAGATCCTCAACATTAATAAAAGTGATGAAGGTGTATACAGGTGTGAAGGGAGAGTGGAGGCTAGGGGGGAGATTGACTTCCGGGACATCATCGTTATCGTTAACGGTAAGCCACAAATGACGTGTGCACATTCTGCTGTGGATTTCAGTAGTGTTCGTTAGAAGGGAAACTGGAAAATCAACAATGGATACATCCCTAGTCAATGCTATCAATGCCTGTAAGAATCCACCCACTTTACTAATGGTATTTGTTGTACTGAGTTTCAACTACAGGCCCAATCTTAGATACTCTCACTTTTCATTATGTTACTTGATTTTTATTGGGTATGTATCAAAAGGAATACAAACTGGAACATAAGGACATTTCTGAGTAGAGTGACTCTTAAATTCTATGAAGTATGTATTACTTAGTTTTCAGTTCCTGAAGGTTAATAATTGAGTTAACATTCTTACACTTTAGTGAATGCTATGGCTTTAAATCTTCAAGTTCCTCATATGAATTCCTCTCTACAAGCAGAATCTTAAGCTCTGTCTTTCTAGTCTTATTTATTAAGAATCTGTAAGAAGGTCACACAGGAATCGAGGCGAACCTGCTCTCCAGAGCAAGTGCCAGGATAGGCTGTAAAGCTCCACAGAGAAACCCTGTCTCGAAAAACAAAAACAAACAAAAAAAGAAGGTAACACAGGGATGTCCTCCAGGCCACAGAAACAATCATGCAGATGCCACTCTTGTCTGTGTCTGACTGATCACCCCAAAGACGGTTGCGTTTCCCTTTCCTATACAGACTCAGCTAAAAACTGATCATTGGGTGTACAACACTAATTAACGCTGCTTTCCCTTTACAGCCACAAACTCTCATCCTTTAAAGTAACTGGACCTTCTTTTCTGTAAAATAAGTGTTCACAAATCCCAGTATCGATTGCTTCTGCCTGTGGTGATGCAGCCCCATCCTGTCAAGGAGACACATTGACCAGGGCCACCAGAGAGCTGTGATTTTTCTCTTACATGTTCTTTGACTTAGCCGGGAAATTCATTCTATTCCAATATTATTGACTCTTCTTCTTTTCATTGGTGTCTTCTAAACCTCGAGCTTCTCAGAAAGATTTCCCTGGGCATGTCTCTGTTTCAGTTCTCTGAGTGTGCCTGACCACTCATAGATTTTTCAATGGAAAGTTTGAGACTTCAAAAGAGTAAAAATAAATAAATAAAAAATGGGACTTTTCACATGTTGTCTTCACTTCCTTAAATTACAAATTTGACTTGTTGGATTACTATGTTCCAATTAATACTCCAGTCTTTCTCATTTAATTGTTACCAACTTTCCCTTACCATTCTGGCCTTTGTCTTTGTCTTTTTTATTAGTCTCTGCATGACACAATTATACATTTCATCAACCTGTGAAACACACTGATAAAATGAAAATAAGCTTTTATACAGGTGCAGAGTCATAATTCTTACCAAAAAATATATTTCTGAGAAATGAAATGTATAATTTGGTCTTTCATACCAAGTCATGAAAATGCAATATCAATTATTTATTTCTTCATCTCACAATTAATTTTCTTTTAAATTAGAAATTATTTTGCTGGGGTTCCTAAACAGTTTACCCCTTTGCCCAAGATAGTGATTATTTATGATAAAGTTTTCCACCTTATGAAAATATTTTTTAAAAAAATCAAACCTCACAAATATACTTTAGTTTCAAAATTATTTTTTGCCTTTATGAATTAATTAAATAAGCTATATGCATAAGTTGTTGTTTCCTTCTATTTTATATTTAGACTTATAACAAATATAAAATCAAATTGTATTTTCTAAAACACTTAGGACTTTTATTTCACAATCAATTTTAACCAAATGTATTAACCCCACTTTTGTTTTCAAGATGTAAAGATTCCCAAATAGTTGTAATGGATAGTCACAGGGAAATTTCTAAATTTAAATGCCATCAATGTAGCTGGAAAAAGAATGATCCCTTGCTAGTCAGCAGAAATCTACTAATGCAAAAGTATGATCTATTAGAATTTTGAGAGAAGAAGCAGATTGCAGACAATAGCTTAATCATTAAAAAACAGCAAAACAAAAAGCCATTGGTATGAGAGTAGAGCAAAGCAACTGTGACTAAAATACATTATTTGGGGGTGCATAGAGACAGAAGTGGCAATGAATGGATTAGGGATTAGGTGAGATATAGCTGGAAACACAGGGAGGCCATGAAGGACTCTGGGTATGTCCTTAAAAATCGTATTCCCTTCTACAGGATTGTCATTTATTCCTTTGAGGACAAAGTATTCCAGAAGGGTAGAAAGCTCTCAGTAGCAGGGAGGTAAGGAATTGCAGCCAGTAATTGGAACCCCTGCTAATGGAGAAGAAAATGAATGAGAAAGGGTACAATTAAACATGATATGATCAAAGATGTCATGCCACACCTGACAACAATGGAGGGTCATTTCCAGATGCCCTGTGTAGGGATCTTGGCTTCCAGTATAGCATGAGCTAACAGAGTCTAATAAGGTGTGAATTTAAACAATTATGCTCAATTTGGCAATTACACACTTACAAGAAATATTAAAGTGAATACTATCATTTAAGTAGCTTACACTGAATTCACCATTAATGTGAAGAGACATGGTGATTGCATTCCTTTTACAATTATACATTGCTTAACTCTTAAATAGCCTGCAAAATAATTAAAAACACATTAGTAGAAATGTATGAATGAGATAATAAGCTCTTCTATGAAGCCTTTAATATTTGAAACTAGATAATTATGGTATGTATATACACAAACATGCACACAAATCATACATATACTCTTTAAAATGAAGCTGGTGTCATCTTCCTTGCCTTTATCAAAAATAATTTAGTCCTGTCAATTTCTAGCTTCCCATTCCTACTCTGAAAATGTCCCTAAGTGTTAAAGAATAAAAGGTATGAATTTAAAATTTAAAAGTCAGTACAAGGTTATTTCTATAGAAGTGATGCACCTTATTCCTAAGTCTTTTAAAAATTTATGAAAATGATGCACTAAGCACACATTCAAGTTTGGTGTAATGGAGACAGGAACAATTGGGGTTGGATGAAAATGATCTAGCAACAGAACTTTAAGGCAATTTTACGTTACCCTTCTTTCAAATGCCACAATCAACATTAGATGATAATGGCTAGATATATTTGTCAAAGTGAGTGTCCAGCTGCAGAGTGAAGTTTCCATCAATGGTCCTTGGACTGGGATCTCTGTATTTCTACCTATACCATCTCATTTCTGTAGAGTAAGAAAAATGAGGAACACTACTTTCTTTTATAATAAATGAAACTTCACAATTTTCTTTCACATATAACTTGTATGAAATGTCATAGAATCCTAAGCATCAATAAACAGAAAAGATGTTATAAAGCCTAATATAACTGAATCAACTATGAAGACAGCTTTCCATAAGAAACCAAATTTAATATTATTATGAGGTAACTTTTAATAATAGTATGTAAAATACCATATAAAATTTTTGCCATGTTCAAGAGTAGAGTGAATCCTTTGCTTTTCTGGGACACTTGATGCTGGCCAGTTGAAGCTTAAGAGACTAGTACCATTGGAGGTGAAATCTCCTGGCAGCTATTTCTTGATTGCACACTGAATCTGTAGTCCAGAATAGTTAAGGTTTGTGCCAGCTGCTGAACCTCCTATGATAATAGTCACTCAGATAGTAATGATTTTGATATTATGAAGCAGTTACAGAAAACAACTGAGGTTTGACCCTGTGAGAGGCCAGAAGAGGCCATTGGTGAAGAATCAGCCCCAGTGGCAGTTGAAGGAACTGAAATGAAGAGGCCAAGCATAGGATTTGAGGCTTGGCACAATGAAAAGTAGAGAGGATACTGGAATGACTGAAGCCCAGATACGTTTTGGAGATGTCAATATAAAGGGATGCCCACCAAGAATAGCAAGAAGTGATGGAATGCAGCTGCTAGAGCCTAGAAGGTAAACTGTGACCCAGAAATGACCTGAACCTTCTGGAGGAGCCTGGAAGATTGTGAATGAATCCCAAACAAATGGACATTGAACTTCTTTAGCTTTTGGAGTTTGATTTTGCTCTATTCATTTGTGACCATGCATGGGATCTCACAGTTAAGAGACTTGAATTTTAAAAGAATTTGGATTTTGAAGAGACTGAGTTTTTAAAAGTGTAGGATCTTTAAAATTTGGAACAGTTTATATTGTGATGTTAATATTAATGTAAGATCTTGGTGATGAACAAGACATGAAAAGTTGTGGCAATATGCATGTGTACATGTGTGTCAAGCTGACAAGGGATTAGTTGTGTTATATAGTTTTATGTCAAGTGGAAAAAAAGGTAGAGTAACTGAAGGAAGAGAACCCCAATTAAGCAAATCCCTCAATAAGATCCAGCTGTAAGGTATTTTCTTAATTGATGATGGGTGAAGGAGGACCCACCTTATGGTTCTAGGTTCCATAAGAAAGCAGGCTAAGCAAGTCATGGGGAGCAAGCCAGTAAGCAACACCCCTTCCTGGCCTTGCATCAGCTCCTGCCCCATTTGAATTCCTATCCTGACACCCCTTTATGATGAACTGAGGAGTGTAAATGTAAGCCAAATAAACCACATCCTCCCCAACTTGCCTTTGGTCATGGTGTTTCATCTAACTAAGACATTGTCTTATAATATAATATTGTTAGTCTCTGAAAACGAGGCAGCATTTTCTCTATTCTGAATCAAGTGTCCCATCTGAGTTCCCCTAATTTACAGATGTCTTCTGCTGGTCAAGTTTGGATGGGATCTTGTTGGTGGCAGTGCTATAATAATTAAGATGTCAAATACAACCTGGGTATTGTGGTTTATTGGAAAAGCAATCACAACAATAGCAAAAAAATAAGTGTTACAAGACACAAAAATATTTAATTTTTTTACCATTTCAATGAATCAATAGAAGAAAAGTAACAAAGTGTGATCTAACAATATATCAATGAAATAAATCAGGGAATTGATCTTAAAGTTAGCTGAAGAGACACTCATTTATTCTATTCGTCAAATTTGCTGAAACAAACAAAGTCACAAAATGCTGACTTTGTAAATAGCTCCAAGACACA